TTTTTTTTTTTTTCAAGGGACGAATAGAAAACGTTTGAAAACTAATGCCTTTGTCAAAAGATGAGAATCAACCCTTGAAAATTATGACTTGTATTGTACGTGAAGAAGGGAATAACGAATGAGGAAGTTATAAAGACAACGGAAATTCAAGAGAGTCTATAGTATTAAACGGAATACTTATCTCTCCATAATAAGAAATACGAGCTAGTCTCATATAAATTTATTCAGTTTTAGAAGAACCTTTTGTTAGATTCGCGCAGAACGTTCGTGTGAAATCCGATTATCCTTCTTGCTATTCCCGGTCGACGAGCCGATTACATCGTCCAAGTGAAATATATATTATAGTATATCTGCACATATATATAAAGTAAACCATATAAATGGGAACACCTAAATAATTTTGCGTATTTACGATCGTAACGAGAAAAAAAAATAAACTTCGATAGAAATGATTCTAGTTTTGTGAAAAAACAAACCGGAAAAATTTAGATACACCGGAAGTATTTTTTTAAGCTTTAAAATTGATATACAAAATAATAATAATAATTGACGATACTGAATTAGTCTTTAAATCGGTAAATAATCTATTATTTTTTTTTTCTATCCAAGAATGCACACAAAACGAATCTAACGGAAGTGCTTCGAATAATTCCATAGAGTTAATTAACAGAGAACTCGTTTGGAATGTTCGATACATCGAACGGTATGTACTAACTTAGGCAACAATTTCAATAATCGCATTTAAGATTATTGTTCGAGGATCAATCGTGCTTTATCGATAAAGAGCTTTGTTAACGTTTGTAACAATAAACGTTATTATTTTTAAACTCTATTTTGTATTAAAGGATTTAACGATTTTTATCAACTAGACGTTAAATGTCGAAGTAACCCAATTTTTCCTATAAAAAAATAACGATTATCTTCGAATTTGTATTTTTGAAAATAAATATAATATAGAGATGAAATTTGATTATTATATTTATAGATATTTAAAGGAGAAATAAATGTTAATTTTTATTACAAAATATTTATATTAGAAAAATTACGTTCATTTAATAATTGTGCTGCCTAAATCGTGTAACATTTACAATTTTATCCCTTGTTTATTAATTAAATTAAAAAACTGAAATTAGTGAACCTTTCTAATTATACGAATTTATATAGACATTTATTTTAATTGATTCAAATTGTGATGTAAATCAATATATATTATTAAACAATTAAACTATTCTAGATTGCGAATAATAATATTATATTTCAACATTGAATGTGCTTAAATTTATTATTGTAAATATTTCAAAATATATCAGGAAAGAAAATAAGTGAATAAAAAGATGAGATAGAAAAGAAACACGAGACGATAACATATTTAAAACTATATAAAAGAAAAGAAAAATAAAAAGAGAGAAAAAGAGAAATAGAGAAAGAGAGAGAGAAAGAAAAAAGAGTTAATACGAAAATCGAGGAAAACGCTTTTATTCAGTTAACATGTGTGGTACTGTTCATCGCATAGCGACCCAGTTTATTTGATCTGTGAGTAATCCGTTACGGGTGTGCGCGTAGAAACATTTTATTACATAATGTAACCTAGAAAAGAAAAAAAAAAAGAAAAGAGAAAGAGAGAGTGAGATACAGAGAGAGAGAGAGAGAGAGAGAGAGAGTTGTAGACGCGTGCATGATGCATACCGGGTATTACTATTTTTAACTTGAAAGGTAAAGAAATTTTTTTATCGATAACCTTCGATACTTCCAAGATATATTCTCACTCTCTCTCTCTCTCTCTCTCTCTCTCTCTCTCTCTCTTGCTCTTCTTCCCATTTTTTTTTTCTTTTTTTTCGTAAACTTTATGAAGAGAGAAACGAAAGTAAAAAAGATAAAATTTCGATATTTCGACATTTTATTTTTCGAAAAAACTTACAAATTTTACCTAACTGCAAAGCAATAGTTAAGAGAAATTTTGTAAGCGTGTAGAGAAAAATAAAACTTTCTTTTCGAAAAAAAGTTTTTATTGTATTTTTTTTTGGCTGGCGTACCCCTAATGGATAAACTTTCAAAATGACGGCGCATTTTTGGTTGCGAACCAAGTTACGCTCGTAAAAGCGCATTCGATATGATCTAAAGAATGCAAAAGAGATATATGCAATTTATATAAATAATCTATGATATGATATGAGTGCTGGTGAATCTATCGTTAATAAATAAACAATAAAATACTATATGATTTTTTCAGATGATCGTTTCTCAAATTATGATACATGTATCACTCTAATGGTTTCATTACGTAATTTTTGGTTGTACAATTTTTACACAAAATATTTGAATATATTTTCAGAAAAAAGAAATGTATTTTAATATTGTAACGAGTTACACAATATACAAATATAATTAAAAATTATCTAAAGAATTATTAATATTTTATTCTTTGATTTATAAACACTCTACCACTTTGGTATGTATTGATTTTTAATGGGGAAAAATTTTATGATAGTACATATATTTTTTTATTCTTATTGGTAAAAAATTGAAAAAATTTGAAAGACTCCGATATAGATTATTTAAAATAATAAACGTTGATTTTCAATTTTTAATTTATTTCTAAATGTTAATGTTAGTCAGTTCATTTATTCATTATAATTTTTATAAAGAGAAACATACTTTTGTATGTACGTAAGAGAGTTTCATTCGATTCTAATTTCTCATTTCAAGAATATCTCCTTCTCTCTCTTTATTTCTCTCTGTCTTTTTCTCTTCTCATTTTACATACAAAAGTAAACAAAATGACACATGATGTAATCATGTAAAAGGAGAATCGATTGAATCGATCCATCGACCATGAACTTATACTATCGAAGCCTGTAAAGTTGAACAACATCAACGTTTTCAATTCGCAACAAAAAGAAAATAAAATAAAACAAAAGGACAGAATTAAGACCACAAAATCGCTCATGCAACTGACCGCAGGAATGCAAAACGATAAGAAGAATATGGTGAAACGAGCCTACTACTGAAGTTGTCTTACCATAATAAGAATGACAGAGAAAGATAGTTTGCGATAGCATCAAAACAATGCTTATTATATCATTGTATGTATGTACGTAAATATATGTCACCGTTAAACCAAGAAATTTGTTAATTCATTGTGATAATGAGTTAAATTAGAAAATAATTATTATCGACTAATTAAAATTATAATAAAATAAGGCAGAGTTACATACTTTAACTAGATAATATATGAATTCACGAGACGTGTTTAATTAAATTACGAAATTGATATTCGATACATAGATTAAATCGAATATAACATCATGATTTACAGAGTACACAGTTACAAAAAATACAATTATTATATTTTTAAATAGTACTTGATATTGGACTTCCTATACATATTATAATGTTTTTGAGATAATTGGGCATATCTTGCAAGATTAATTTTCTTATCGGTTATAGAACATTTTATACATCTCGAATAGAATTTATATATATATATCAATTAAAAAGTTAAATACATACGTTTTTTGTTTATAAGAATTTGGAAATATTGTATCATATTAGAAAAAAAATATTGATCCTAATTAAATTGATAGTAGGTATAAGAATACTCTTACAACAACTCACTGTATAAACACAAGGAGAAAAAAAGCTCGTTAAGAAGGATACTTGAGTTGGCTAATTATTTCTCTAACGTTGTTGATAGACGTTTAATAGGATGTCTAGTTAAACATCTAATAGGACGTAACAGGTAAGTCAAAGTACTTCCTGGTGTTGTTCAATTAGATTAGAAATAATAAGATAGAAAGATAATTAATAGATCATTGATCGATAGGAAATTAAAGTGGACTTACCTATTGCACAGTGGAGTAGGAGAAGAGTTGATATTGTTCGAGTGGTAGTACTCATGGTGAAGAACGTTGCTTTTCTTTCTTCTTTCGACATATTTCTACGACGAAAAACAATAGAAAGTAAAGGTAGAAAAGTCCCTTCTACGAATGACTCATAATCTTCCTTCCTTGAGAATGCTTTCTTCTGTTTCTCCTTCTACCCTCCTCTTAATTTTCCTACTTTTTCTTTCTTTCTTTCTTGCTTTCTTGCTTTCTTTCGAGCGTCTTTCAACGGACCACCATTATGCTTTCATACGACGACGGTGTTAATTAACGTTCTTTCACACCGACGCCACACACGTAGTTGTTAATAACTTCGTTCGACGCGTTTGCTTTAGACCATCATCGTCATCATCTTCTTCTTTTTCTTCTTCTTCTTATAATACTCTCTCTCTCTCTCTCTCTTTCTTTCACTATATCTTTTTAGTAACGAAAGAAAGAGAGAAGGGGTTATTTTACGATCGAATCTTATTCCTTTTTTCGATCGTTAAATACACAGGTAGATATTTTTCTTTTCGTAATAACGTCTTCTTTATAGATCTTTCAACAACTTTGATCAACTTTTTTCTTTTCTTATGTTACAAAAAGAGATATATATATATATAAATAAATAAATAGATAGATAGATAGGTAGATAGATAGATAAAAATTAGAGTCAAGGAATAACGAGAATTCTCGAGATTAATTAAGATGGAAGATGGTCGTTGATAATTCGTCTTCGATGAAGAAGAATTCTTCTTCACTTCCACTTCCTATCCGATGTTGTTATATTACCTAACAAAGTTTGAAACACACAATATTATAAATAGATAAGCTCGAGTTTCTACGTAGGCGTCGATATCACCGGTTGTGTATTATGTTAGTTACGAAATAACTGGTAGAAACGGTCGATCAGACAACCAACCTGTTTTTGGTCATTTTCCTCTAACACCTAACACTCCTATTATCTTCAATGTCACATTGAGAAAAATATGTGCGTATGTGTGTCAGAGAGTCGTAGAATATATCCGTGATTTCATTGTGAATTGAAAACGGTTTTTCCATTTAGTACCTGAACAATCAATCAATCATTCTATGCAAAAAAAATGACGTTTGTATGTATTTACGTACAATGATATTACGTCTTATTATAATTCATTGTGAATTTTCAATAGTGATTAAAAATGTCATCTATAAAATATCTCTACAATGTACTCATTAATTATTGTATATTCGTGATAAGAATAAAATTAAATCGTGACATAAATAAATCGATAGATAAAATATATACCTTTGTATATCATTTGTTTAAACTATCGCAGAATACACAAATAAATAGATAAAATTTCTTACAAATATAAATTTTTCTTATCGTATATATTTATACTTTATATTTCGTTAAAACATATTTATATCGTATAGAAAATATTTTTACGTTGAAAATTCATAAAATTCACGAGAAAAAGAATTGTTTAACGAGTCGTTCAAGAGGAAACTAAGATAGTAAATATAGTTATATCTAAGAAAGTCTATTTACTATTATAGCCGAAGCGAGACCCTATCATCGTACAAGGTAGAAAGAGAAAGATATGAGAAATAGAGGGAGATAGAGATAGAGCTTAACTTTATGATCTAGCAGGTTATAGAGATACCTTTTAATCCCTCCTACACAATGGTTCGATGACGTAAACGGCCATGACTGCTCCTATAACGGGCCAATATAGGAAACTCTACCGACTCGATCAAGTATCTCTCCTTCCCCTCTTTTGCTTGGATTATTTTAGCAATACGTTATGAAACTAAGGGAATAAAGTATTTTTTATCTTTTCTTTTTCTTTCTCTTTCTCCCTTGATACAAAATCACGATATTATATCCCAGGGGTAGTAAACACGTCAATTGTGATTTTTGATTGATCATAGAACCTAAAACGATTTCTAACACATTTAATATAAGTAATCTTTCTATAAACACGATAAATAGGTACCTAGAAAATACCGAAATAATTTGTATTGTATGAAATCCATAGTTCATTATTTTAAGGTAATTAAGTTTTTAAATATGTTATGCAAAAATCATGTTAACCAGTGATGTAAAAGTACAGTGTTGTATAATGGTTTGCGTAATTTTCTTATCGTGCGAAACAGTGTTATAGGATGCTGTGTCGTAGGAGGGCTAAAAAAAATCCATTAGATAACGAAATTATAACTCTGTAAACTGATTTAATCTTACAAGGTGGAAAACTTGAGAAAGATTGTTGGAAATATTTATCGAATGTAACGAATCTTGATTTGGATCTATATACTTATGAAAATTGGATTTTTTATATTTAAAATTCACGATGAGACTAAACAATGTTCCCTATGTTCCTAATATTGTCTTGATACATAACAAATTATGAATGATTGGTTGAATACACACAGATATAGACTTTCCACATTAATTATATTATAAGAAAATAAAATTTGATATGTATCTTTTGTTGCTAAATTTTAATTAATAAATAAATATCATGTTAATTTAATACAACCTTCCCCTACATTGTCATTTATTAATATACAAAACATAATATGTTCGAATATGTTAAATGATAAAATTTTAATAGATAGATCGTGACACATTTTTAGAACAAAAAGTCAATCGCATATATAATAAAATTGACCACCCCTCTTATATACTACCATAATACATCGAGTTACTGATCGATTGACATAATGTGATTACTATAGAAAAGAAAATAGATATCCGTTATGTTTAATGATATATGAACATTGAACACACCTCTACTCTGAGTAATGAGAAAGTATAATTTAAATAATATTTTTTCAATTTTAATTGAATAATTAGAGATAATATAGAGGTTTTTTTTATTTAATTATTATTTAATAAATTGACAAATATATATGTGTAATTATAATATATTAATT